TGATAGAAGTCCCGAGGAATACTCCCACATTTGCAGGCGAGAAAAGGTGAGAAAGGCGTGGTCATTGAGGTAAAAGACGAGCAAAGAGGGTGGTATTCCAGAAGCGAAGGAAGAAGGGGTTTCACAAGAGAATTGTCGGCTACAGCAAATCCCGCTGAGTCTAGTCAGAGGAAGGCTGAGACTTGAGCGATGGGTCTGGTGACATAGAGGATTGATACAGCATAACCTTGGGAGCTCACGGCCCACAGAAACTCCATCCTGGAACGAGGTGCACCCATAAGACTGAACAGAGGCAAGGCATAAAAAGGGCCGTGGAGCTGCCAAGAGAGAAATGATGGGTTCTGATCAAGCAGATCCCAAACACCCTGTAGCACGTATCTCATTTGAGCTGAACCGACAAAGGGTAGAATGGTATGATGGGTGGCTTGGTCGGGGAAGATCCTTCCATCCCAAGGGGGAGAACTTGAGCCTCAGCAAGCCGGGAAGAAAGTGGGCCCAGGCCTGGAGTTGCTGGATGGGGCTGGGGAGTTGCCGAGGACTGTGGCAGCCCTGCAGAGCCATCTCCTTGGATTCCAGGTACCTGGTGGCCGTTAACTATTTCTGAGGAGAGCCATGTCAAGAATTTCATCTGTGTTTCTGAACACAATCCCTCTAGAGCCAGAGTCAGAATGAGGTGGGGAGACATGGGAAGCAGGAGGCGAGGGGAGCTTTCAGGGAGTGCAAACAAGGGTCCAAGCAAGACCAGTCAGGGGCAGAAGGAAGGGAAGGAGAGGAACAGGTGGAGTTGTCAGGACTTGGTGACTCGTGGCCAGGGCAGAGCTGAGGGCTGGGCTGGACAGAAACAAGAAGGATTCTTTCTCATTTGGGGTCAATATGCTTACAGCAACCTTATGTTGTAGCTCATATTGTAGCTGTGGGTTACCGGCAGAGCCCTGACCTGGGCTTTTCCCCATTCAGGTTGTCCCTCCAGCATCCATCTCTGCTCCCTCTTCTGAGGTATTCACGCATTTGATTATTACTTTCACAGCAATGTAAGGTCCTTAGAAGGCAAGGCTGCCTTACAGTCTTCCTGTTACAGCACCTGACACTCAGTCTGTTTTATGTGCACGGTGTCCTCGTGGTTTTGAGTTAAAAAGAAGATGCAGAGGTACCTGAGGACAGTTATACTGCTAAACAAGTCTAGAAATATAGAAGAAGAAATAGGCTCGAGGAAATACACAGTACCACTGTGTTCCATTGGTCAGAACAAGTCACAGGGTCAGCTCGGATTTAAGGGGAGGGAAGGTCGGGCTACGTCTTTTAAGTAAAGAGTGGCAGAGAAGCTGTAGCCACCTTTCATCCACCACCTAGACATTCCAGGGTTTGAATCCTGGATCTGTACTTGCTAGTTGTGTGACCTTGGGTACGTTATGTGAGCTCTCCTAGCTGAGATAACAGCAACCTTATTGGGATGCTGTGAGGGAAATGGATGATAGGACGGTGCCCTGGCATATAGTAACTGCTCAGTAAAAGATAGCTCCCTGGCTCAGTCTGTGTGTGTCCTGGGGGCGGGGGGAGGTTGTCTCCCAGGGGCAACTCAACCATGGCTGGATGAATGCCCCGACTGCTCATCCTTTCACAGGGCAATTCCAGGTGGTCTTCAGGTGTTCTTCTGAGGGTCTCTGACTGGGATTGAACCAATTGTCCACAATGATAATACCTTTCGTTGGCTTTTCCTTTTTCCTTGTATCATTTTCCCCTTTCTTTGCTGTCTTCCGAGGATAGTATCCAAATACACTATTCTCACTAAACTAAACCAATAATAGCTACTATTATTTCAGGAGGAGACCTGGTACAATGGCGGGTAGGCAATTGTTAGGTAGGCAATTCCAAACCACCAGCCCGAGCATGGGAAAGGGTAAGGCTGTTCGCTCCTGTAAAGAGTTACCGTCTCAGAAGCTCCGAGAAAGAATTCTCCTCTGGTCTATAGGGTCACTGTGTGCTGGAATCAACTCAGAGGTGATGCATGTTGACTGGAGCCCGTAGGTAGCTCAAATGGCTAAGCACCGGTAGGTTGGTGGTTCAGAGCCACTTGGAGGCACCGTGGAATGCCTGGCAATCTGCTTTGGAAAGGTTTTCACCGCCTCAAAAGCCCAACGGAGCAATGGGACCCTGCACACGGTTCAGAATCAACTCGATGTCAGTTGTCAACCACAGCTGCGGCAGCAGCAACACACATTATTATTAGCACTTACTGGATAGATACCATGAAAATTGGAGAGAGGACGTTTGTTGGACTTGCCATTTAAGAGACGACTTTCTCATTTTGGAAGAGAACGTGGCGGGGTGAGGGGGCAAAGCCAGCGGCAGAGATTCAGCTGTCAGGATTTGAGGGCATCCTGTGCACTCCCCCCTGCCCCCCGGGGAAAGGGGAGCTAGGGCTCTCAGGAAAGATAGCAGGTGGAGCAGAGAAGGGCAAGTGGAGGGATGGAAATTGAAGATAGGTGAGAAGAGATCAGGATGGGGTCAGGGTTTGTTGTTTTCATCTTTAAGACTGTACACAATTCATATTTAGAATGTCGTGAAACAAGGTAGCTGGAGTTTGCCTTCCTAACAGGCCTCCACCTCTTTGTTTAACTCTCCTTCCCTCCTGACAGATAGAGACAGAGGGCACTTATTCTTCAGCACTCCTCCCCCACCTCATCCCAAACCCCTCTGCTTGGAGACAGACTTTTAGAGAAAATGTAGCTGCTCTAGATTTATTTTTTCTTTTCAAGTCTTGGCCTCAATTTTAAAGCACCACGAAGTCTTAGCTGGTAAATCTCCTTGCTGGGAACTCCAAAACTCTGAAACGATTCAAAAGACGAGCAAAGAGGGTGGTATTCCAGAAGC